CTAGAACAGCCACGAGGTCCCATTGTCACCTCTATCGGAAAGTGGCACCTAGAACCCATGGAGAGCATGTTTTCCTCACACTGTCTGAATTATGGGTCTGTGCCTCTCAACTGCACTGTGCAGCTTTCCCGGCTGGCTCTTTTTAAGAGGCTTTAGAGAGTGATATGACAATGGTGTCCCTTCTCTCCTTTGCAAATCCTAAGCCCTTCATGAAGTAGAAAACAAAGAAAGAATAAGCACATAAACACTAAGAGCCTCTTTTCCACTTAGAAGGGACACAAGAGGTAAAAGGAGTTTGTGGTAGGCAGGGGTGGAAATGTAAATGTTTTGTTTTCCACCCCAAGGCTTTTGTCATTGCTATGAATGGGCGTCATTTCCTTGGGGAGAAAGCCCTGACTGGCTCTAAGTTCATGATGATAACATGTCGAGGTAGTCGTAGTTTCTTACTCCCTTCTATTTTCTTCATTTAAAAATCAATATAGCAGCCAGGTGGTGGTGGGCCCGTGGCAGCGCATGACTTTAATTCCAGCACTCAGGAGGCAGAGGGAGTTGGATCTCTGTGAGTTCGAGGCCAGCATGGGGTATAGAGTGAGTTAGGACAGCCAGGGCTACACAGAGAAGCCCTGTCTTGAAAAAAAAAAAAACAAATAATAATCATAATAATTAATCAATACAGGTCTGGAGAGATTGCTCAGCACTTAAGAACTCCAGCTGCTCTTTCAGAGGACCAGGGTATGGTTCCCCAGTATCCACACACAACTCACAACCATCTCTAACCCAAGTTCCAAGGGAGTGCCCACTCTTTTCTGGCCTCTTTGAGTATCAGGCATACATATGGCACAAAGACATGCATGCAAGCAAAATATTCATACACATAAAATAAAAAATCTTTTTTAAAAGTCAGTAAAGCATATAATCGACTACCAAACATACCTAGTAATTAGAAAATAGTAAAAAGCTAACAATGTCTTCAACACTGGTTTTGTCAGAGAGCCACAACTGGTCAAGTTACCAAAGACACCTGTGCATTTCATAAAAAATAATCTTAAATCTAAAAAAATGCTTTAGTGGGCCAAGTGCCTTTAATCCCAGCACTTGGGAGGCAGAGTCAGGTGAATCTGTGAGTTCAAGGTCAGCATGGTCTAAAGGGTGAGTTCCAAGACAGCCAAGACTGAATCACTGAAACTGTCTTTAAAAATAAATAAATAAATAAATAAGCTTGAAACCATTCTTTTTCTTTCCAACAATATAAGGACAGCTTCAAAGAATGGCTTTTGTATCCAACAGAATGAAGACCCAAGGTGTCAGAAGTACACTCAGTAACCTGCTGTCATCTGAACAGCTAAGGCAGAATCCTTAACTCCAACATGTGAAATGGAACCCTGATCAGAGATCCTGGATCCTAGAGACTCTGCTTTAATAAGATACCACTATGGCGTGGAGATGGGGAACAATTCCAAGACCCCCCCTCTGACTATCTTCTGTACCTCCCGCAAAAGATCCCTCACTCTGAAAGTCATCTAAATTAGATCTAACCAATGAAGGGTTAACATTTTTTAAAAAATTATTAAGTACCCCAAAAGCATTAAACTCCCATCAGTGACTGCTGAACTGCCTTGAAGCCTGGGCCTCTGTACCCTGACATCTAAAAGTCAAAGAAATCCTCTCTTTTAAGAGGGAAATTCCCAGGAGGAAGAAGGCTGAGCTCCAGCATGAGAGCACACAATGGGATCACCGCTGACAATGCACATCTTTTTCTAGATGTCTCCATATGCTTGAGAGGTTTTCCCCTAGCCAGGCATTAGGGGACTTGCTACTCTGCCACCAAGAATCGACAAACATTTTCAAGAGAATGAAGTAAAATAATAGGTTGCTTTTATAAATTCGGGAAAGAGAAAAGGCCTGCAGAGTGGCCCTCGGTAACCAAATTAACTAATGGTGGGAGTGTCTGGATGCTGCTGGATCCTGAACAGTAATTTACAATACTCCCCACTTCTGTCAGTGGAAATAAATGCTTGTTTTATCTTTGGCTTGACTCATTTATCACCAAAATAACGCTTCAAAAGCTACAGCAAAATGCAATTTATTTCTACAAGAATGCTCAAAATTACACTGGATTGGGGATCGACATGGTAGATCTGAAAGTCACATATTACAGACTACTGTTTCCCTACAGTGCAGTCTCTCTCAAATTCTTAGGAACCCAATAGTAATAAAAGCTGAAGAACCCAGTATGAAAACATAAGTATCACGCTCATAAAATATTTTTTAAATCCCCAAATTAAATTCCTGGATGACAGATTCCAAAATTGAATGGATTCTTGGTAACACCACTCACGCTCTGAACTCTCAGAGACACTAGGGATTCCAGTGGGGAGAATGAAAGCTGCAGCTACGCGGTGGCCTGACCTCCCCAACAAAGAACAGGAGAGCGAGCACGGACACACAGAAAGCAGGGCGGCAGCTGTTGTCTTTTTAACAGACCGCAATTCCCGCTGAGCAACCTGGGATCCTCCCAGGGAACCCCACCCCATCCCCCATCCCACCCCCCCACCCCGTTCCTGAAAGGCAGGAAGGAGCCCAGAAAGTCACTTCGCTGGTCCCAAACACTTAAAACAATCAAAGCTAGCTCTTGACCTCTTACACAACATAAGTAGCCACACACTGTGAAACTTATCTGTGATTAAGGAAAAGTAAAAATTGTTAAGAATCTTTTGTATGGGAGTAACCTGGGAAGTTATACTTTACTCGCCCCGCGCCACCCCCCCCTACATACACACACCTTTTTTTCTGCAGACAAATATTCTTTGGCTAGTTTTGCACTTTAAATACCCATGCTTAGTGTCTCAGTGATGCTTTGGTTGATAACTTCATTTTGTTTACCCAGGAGAAAGAGATAAAAAATTATCCGCACAGCATAAACCACAACTTTGTACAATGTCACACCAAGACTAAACACAAAACTTAAGAGTACACGACGAGAATTGGTGGTTTGGTTAAACAAGGACCCACCGAAGCCATCCGAACAAGGATGCATTAATTAGCACTTCTAATAATCACCTGACACAGGGTCACTGAGCGCCTTCACGCTTTACGGTGCCCTTTCAATTTCATCGTCCTGCCGCTGGACGGAAGCCTAGTGAAACTAAGGCAGACCTCCAAAGATCCCTAGCACGTACACCTGGCGCTGAGCTCCAGAACACGGCCACTACCAACATATGCCATTTAAAACCGGGCCTCGCAGAGACTGCCACATCCCAAGGTGGCTTTTAGACTTTGTCATGTCTAAAACAACGCCTCTCGTGGCACCAGAGAAGAGCAGTATCTTCGCGCACCTTTGCAGGTCTCCCCAGGTCACAGATTCTGTGAGTGACACTATTCCACAAGCTGAGGTGCGGGCGACCAAGGGACGCGCCAGAGTGGAAGGCTCGCGGCGTCTCCATGACTCCCCCGCCCCGCGAGCAACTCAACCCTTACTGGTCGGGAGAAACCCCGCCCCCTTCCTGCCTCCGGCTCCCATCATTGGCTTCCCGATACCCGGCAGGTCAGTTCCCGCCGTCTATTGGCTCACTGCCCCATCAGTCAAGCACAGCAAGATTCGGGTCGGTGGGAGGGGAAGGAGTCGGAGGAGGTGGAGTGGGAGTGGGATTAGAGGACGAGGTGGCGGAGGAGGGTGCTCGGGCTCCGGCTCGGGTTTGGGAAAGTTTCCCCTACCAGTGACAGGCTCTCTAAGGCGTGAGGCCCAACGCCGCTCGCGGCGAGTTAGGGGCTCGAGTCCCCGATTCCCGCCCCTCGGTCCGCAGGCCCCGGAAGCCACTTGGGGGAGGGGGAAGGGAGGGACCATGAAAGCAGGGACCGAGCCACCCCCAAGCGCGGCCGCGGCGCCTCCAGGACTCCCCCGAGGGGAGGGGTGCGGGCACTTCAGCCCGCGGCGCCGACCCTGGCCGCCTCCCCCGAGAGCCTCCAGGGCTCCGGAGAGGAGGGTCCCCGGTCCAGGGCGTGACCCGGGCGCGCCGACCGCCAGGACCCCTCCCGCTTCCCGCG